AGGGAAAGAACTTCTGTGGGCAGGAGAGAGGATCTCCTCCCCAGCCCCTCTGCCGCATGCTCGTGCGCTCCACAGTAGATTTGACTCAGTCCAAGCAGGCCCTTTCCGGTGGCGGCTGGTAAATGCTTAACAGTTGGCCTCCTGGGAAGCACACAAAAGGCCGTCATGTGTAGCATTTGCAGTCTCTACAAGGGCAGGTTTTAAGCTACCAACATGATGTCTACCAGCGTGCGAAATCCCGGGCAGTTTAACAATTCAACAAATGTGTGAGCCAGCCCCACCCCGACGCCCTGGGCTTGGCCTGCTCTGCAGGTTGTGGACGGGCTGGCTGAGGGCCGGCAGTGCCCAGGCCTGCTGTAGGAGCTGTCCTGTTGCTCATGAGTGCCCAGGCCTCCCTGGGGAGCCCCTGATTGATGTCTGGGGAATGCAGAGGCCTCCTCAGGAGGCTGGTCTCTTCCTGGTGTTTTCCCAGACCTGGGCCTCCTGCCCCGGGCAGTGCTCAGGAGACACCAGAGCTTCCAGCTCCTTTTCTCCCTTAATCTCTAGGGAGAAATCTGCTCTCTTCTGAGATCACGGGCAGTTCTGGGCCTCTTTATCTGTGCTATATTTCCCCCTAAGTTTATTTATTTCTCCTATGAGAGAGGCAGAGACAGACAGGCACCCCCAGTTGGGTTCACATGCCACGACCCACCCCAGTCTTGGCTGGCCGGGATCACAGCACAGCTTACTCAGAAAGGTCCCCAGACATGTGTCCAGGACCTTTCCCATGTGGGTCCCATTGTGCCACCACCAGCTGCCCCTGCCTTGCCTGCTGGCAAATGCCAGGCTACTCAGGGACTAGAGCAGTGGGACCCTCAACATGGGAAGGCAGGGGCTATGGTTTTTCATACTCTCATTCCTCACCTGTCTGGGAGTCTTGCCACCTGACCCTCTACTGACCCCCCTAGTGCCCCTGCTGTGGCTTCATTCAGCATGCATTCATAGAACAGCGCAGACCTTTACAACAAGCCTGTGGTCAGCGCTGGGGATGTGGCATGGAAAAATACACATTTCCTCCTTTAAGAAGCCTACAGTCTAGTGAGGTAGTTCTTTTTATTTTATTTTAGAGAGAGATTGTTGCTATAAGGTGTGTGTGCTCACTGGAGAGAGAGAGAAAGACAGAAAGTGAGGAATCACCTCCCCCCTCAGGTGATGGCCACGCCGCAATCCCTTCTCCTCCATTCTCCTCTCAGGATTTTGGGTACACATGCCCACATGCCTGGCATGAGTTTTAAGCCACCAGGTCCAGGATCAGAAGCATGGTTTACATGGGAGGCCAGTGATGAAACATTACGCCCTCAACTGGTCCCAGAGAAGTGGTTCTTAGAACTGGTCTTGGGCCAGCAGGGTGACACGGAGGTAAAAATATTAGATCCCACATGGCCCACTGCACAGTTTGATCCACTGACTTAGCAACTTGAAAAGAGGAGAATGAAGGAGAAGGGATTGCTGCATGGCCGTTACCCCAGGGGGTGCGTTCTCACTTCTCTCTCTCTGTGTCTGGTGAAAGCGTGCACCCTGTAGCAAAACTAAAACAAACAACAACACAAACCCTGGTCATAATCTTTTTTGAGACTATGAAAGATAGCCCCAAAGTATGGTTCTCTTTTTGCAGAAAAAAAATTTGCATGTGCTTGTAGAATTTTTCACACACCATCATGGAGTTGGTGGTTCTGCTGACCGCATGGGCGAGCCTGGGTTAAGAACTTGAAACCTCCCATTTCGAAGGTGCTGTGGCCAGCACAGGCCCCGGCCCTCACCCCAGTTACTGCCTTAACCAGTTCTGGCTCTTTAACTTCCAGAGCCATATGAGCGCCTGGACTTCCTGCCTAGGCTTCAGATGAGCCAGGCCTCAAATGAAGGCTGGCTTACTGCTGGGAAGAGGTGCACCCCCTTACACTCACTCCAGACCCGTCCCCGTTAGCAGTCCGTCCTCTTCTCCCTCCTCTCAGCAGCTGGAAACCATTCATTTGCTTTTGTCTCTATGGATTCACCTCTTCTAGACACTCATATGAATGCAGTCGTAGAATAGCTGACTTTGCGGTCTGGCTACTGTCATGTAGCAGAATGTTTTTGAAGTTCCATCTGGGTTGTAGCAGGTATCAATACTATTTTTTTTTAGGTTTTTGTTTTAGAGCTTGTGTGTTCACCAGAGAGAGACAGAGACAGAGACTGTGAGAGTTTAAGTAAGAAATCACCCCCAAGGGGTATGGTCACGCCACAGTCCCTTTTCCTCTGTTCTTCTCTTGGGATTTTGGACATGCATACACATGCGTCTGGCATGATTTTTAAGCCACTGGGTCCTGGCCTTGAGCTGCGGGCAGCCACGTGGGAGTCCGACGATGTAAATGCCGTATCATCTGCTGGCCCTGTACACTTCTTTCTTTCTTTTTAAATTATTTAGTTTTATTTATTATTATTCAGTTTGACCAGAGAGAAACAGGGAGAGAGCCGGCTTTCTCACCAGAAAGCAAGCCGCCAGGTCTGGGACTTGAGCCCAGACTCAAGCCCACATGGTCAGCCATGTGGGAGTCCAACACCTTAACCAACATGCCACCTGCTAGCCCCCCTACATTTCTTTTTATCTCTAAATAATACTCGATTGTGTAGATAAACCACATTTTCTTTATCCATTCATCTACTGATGATGTTTGACTTCTTTCCACCAGGCATGACTTTTTTTTTTTAAGAGACAGGGACTTACTATGTTGCCCAGGCTGGCCTTGAACTTGCCTCCTGGCTAATTGGTATTATGCCACTATGCCTGGCAATGCATGACTTTTTAAAAAAAGAGATGTTATTTTTTCCATCCCGGCTCGATGTTAAAAATCCATCCTGAGGGGCCAGCAGGTAGTGTGGTAGTTAAGGCACTGGATTCCCACGTAGGCGACCATGGTTTGAGTCCCAGAACTGATGACTTGTTGTCTCACTTTCTCTCTCTCTCTGTCTCTCTCTGGTGAATGTGCCCTATAGGAAATTTAAAAAATAATAATAATGGTAAATAAAATGAAATAATTCCTTTTTTTTTAGAGGTTTTTTGCTATAGGGCACATGTGCTCGCCAGACAGACAGACAGAGAGACAGAAAGCGAGAAATCACCCCCCAGGGGGGATGGTCACGCCGCAATTCCTTCTCCTCCATTCTCCTCTCGGGATCTGGGGCACGCACGCACACACGCCCAGCGTGAGTTTTAAGCCACCGGGTCGGGGACGCGAACCACAGTCGACTACGTGGGAGTCCAGCGACATAGCCATTACGCTAACTGCTGGTTCCCAAAATTAAATAATTCTTAAAAAAAAAATTCTGAGCTGGCTGATGGCATGGTGGTTAAGGTGGCTGGGTACCACATGGCCAGCTGCATGGTTCAAGTCCTGGATCTGGCAGCCTGAAAAAACAGCAGGCATATGTTGCATGTGTGCCCAAGAGAATGGAGGAGAAGATTACAACATGTCCATCCCCCTTTCTCATTTTCCCTCTCTTTCTTCAGCAAGCACATATGCCCTATAGCAAATTAAAAACAAAACGAAACAGGGACCAGCAGATGGCATAATGGTTACGTTGCTGGACTCCTTTGTAGTTGGTCACTGTTCGAGTCCCAGACCTGGTGGCTTAGAATTCATACTTTGTGCATGTGTTCGTGCGTGTGTGCCCTAAATCCTGAGAGGAGAATGGAGGAGAAAGGCTTGCAGCATGGCCATCGCCCCTGGGGGATGATTTCTCACTTTCTGTTTCTCTGTGGTGAGTGCATGCACCCTATAGAAAAAATATCTCTCTAAACAAAACAAAACTAAAATTGTCCAAAGGTTGGTTCTGTGGCCTGGTGGTTGAAGCAGCTGGATCCCACATGGAGGACCCCACAGTTCAAGTCTCAGATCTGGTGGCTTGAGAATCATGCTGGACACGTGTATATGCCCAAAACCCCAAGGAGGGAGAGATGGAAAAGGGATTGTGGTGTGAGCATTCCTCGTAGGGGGTGCTCTCTTCTTCCCTCTCTCTCTCTGGCAAGCACACATGCCCTCTAGCAAAAACAAAAAACAAAAACAAAACAAACCTGTCCTAGGGGCTGGACAGTGGCACAGTGGTAGAGTACAGTGCTCTGTGAGGCTGACCCACGTGGAGGATTATGGGTTCGTGTCTGGAGGCCTTCCTGACTGTGCTGGGCACGAGTGTGCAGGATCCAGGGCCAGCTCAGGCTGGGGATGGATTGTGGCACGAGACGCTATTGGGGATGCTGGCTCTCTGCCGCTCACTCACGGAGGAAGTAAATGAACTTAAAAACGACATCCTGTCCTCCCTCTCCAGGGGCATGCCCTTGCATGCAGGGGGCCGCCCAGAGGTCTGCCCGCACAGGCTGCCAACTGACACAGGCCTCCAGGCCTGGGGCCCTCAAGTCCCTCACCCCACTTCTCTGGCTCTTCAACTCACTGTGCTGCATCTTTCTCGCACCTAGGCGATGACAAGTTTGGGCGCAAGATCATCGTGTTCAGTGCCTGTCGAATGCCCCCTAGCCACCAGCTGGACCACAGCAAGCTCCTGGGGTGAGTACCCGGGAAGCATGGCAGGGTCTTCGCTTAGACCCCTAGTGCAGTCTGACGCCATTTTCCTTCCTGTCCCTTCCTGCCCAAGGGTTCAGGCCACTTCCCTTCACTGCCCTGTCTTCCCTGGAGGGAGCTCTTTCACAGTCAGGGGAGAGTGGGACTAGGCATCATATCTAGTTTCTGCGGGACCTTGGCAAGTGTCTTCAGGTCTGGCTTTCGTCACCTTTCAGAGGGACGATGCTACAGCCCTCCTTCCCTGTCGGAGTTGGTGCTACCTGCGGAAGCACTGCCAGGTCAAAGGCCATCCAGATGCGAGGACGTCAGGGTGTGTGCAGTCCCCGCTGCAGCTGCAGCTGCCTGTTGTTGCTGTCAGTGGTGTTATCTTATCTTGTGCTAAATCTGACCCCTGTCCCCATGTGGGTTGGATGTCACAGCGCTGCTGGTCTAGATAGCCACTGTGTGCACAGATCCAAGGACTGCGGGAATGCTGGTGTGCATTCCGGTCACTGCTCGTCACTGAGCCAGCCCTGGGCCACTGTGGGGACATGGGACTGCCACAGAGGCGCAGCAGGCACCTCCCCCTCCTGCCGTTCCTGTACGTGTGCAGTGACCACTTTGCTCTTCTTTCCTGGCCAGTTTAAGCACTCTCTGAAATGTAACGTTCCCTAGGGGCCAACAGGGGATGTAGTGGTTAAGGCTCTGGACTCCCACGTGGTCGAATGTGATTCAAATCCCAGACCTGGTGGCTTGAAAGTCATGCCAGGCATGTATGTATGCATGTCCAAAATTCCAAGAGGAGAATGGAAGAGAAGGGATTGTGGCATGGCCATCCTCCCTGGGGGGGATGATTTCCTGATCTCTGTCTCTCTCTGATGAGCACACGTGCCCTATAGCAAAACTCTCTCAAAAAAAGTAACATTCTTGGGGCCAGCAGTTAGCATAATGGCTATGTCGCTGGACTCCCATGTAGTTGACCATGGTTCGAGTACCGGACGCGGTGGCTTAAAACTCATGCCAGGTGCGTGTGCATGTGTGCCCAAGATCCTGAGAGGAGAATGGGGGAGAAGGGATTGTGGGCATGGCCATCCCCGGGGGTGGGTAGGTGGTGGGTGATTTCTGGCTTTCCATCTCTCTGTCTCTCTCTGTCTTTCTAGTGAGTGCACGTGCCCTATTGCAAAAACCTCTCAAAAAAAGAACATTATTTCACTGCTTAGGGCAGCTCGGTGAGGTTCTGAGTGGTTGTGCCTGTGTAGGGGTGGTGTGAGCTCGGGGACAGACCCAGGGGATGCAGCACAAGGGGAAGGCCCAGCCGGGCCGAGGCTGTCTTGCCAGTACTGCCTGCTGGTTCTCACCCTTCACCTACATGCTCCTTCCAGGGCTCCTCCCACAGGCAGGGCCTAGTCCAACCACCAGGTTGCCCGGCTGAGAACGGGTCAGGGGCTCAGCCTGAGGGTGACTGAGTCACATGCCCTCCCCTCTGGTTTTTCGGTGTCTGATTTACCAGGTGACAGATGCCAGATAACCTGAGTGGGATGGGCTGGCCAGTAGTATGGTGGTTAAAGTGCTGATCTCACACGGCCAACTGCACCCTTCGAGTCCCAGACCCGGTGGCTTGAAAAACACTGCTGCATGCGCGCACCCAGAATCCAGAGAAGAGAATGTAGATCGGATTGTACGCCATCTGCCCTGGGGGTGCTTTCTCACTTTCCCTCTGTCTCTCTCAGAATGTACGCCCCCCTCTGACAAAAAAAAAAAAATTCTGAGTGTGAGGGTGTTAGAGAGTGGGGATAAAGAAGCACCTAGTTTTTGGGAAACGCGTGCTGAGTGAGGCTGCCTAGGAAGCCCTCTGCCACCATCGCTGTGTACCCTCCATCCCTTCTGAGCTGGTCTTCCTCCTCCACACCCCCTCAGCCTGGTCACAGTCCCAGCTGAGGGCAGCAAGGGACTCCCATCATGGACCGGTCTGTTTCTTGTTTTCAGTCGGATTACCTGAGACCCGGCTTCTCCTAGCTGTCTACCCAGATCTGGGGGGTTGAAAGGAGCAGTGATTGATGCTGGGATCAGAAGCTGCGTTCACCTTCAGCTTTGCTCTCGAGAGCTGTCTGCTGACTGCCCACCTGCAGGGTTGTTGTGGGCAGTGGTCAGCACAGAGGACACACTGCCGGGTACATCTTAAAAGTATTAGTGTTTTGAGAGTTTAGAAAAACACAGGCAGCTATAAAGAAAAAATACAGATAGCTTTGAAAAAATAAAGTGTCCTGGGTCAGTGGTACAACTGTACAATATGCTGCTCTGTGATGCTGACCCACATGGGGAGGTTCTGGTTTCGAGTCTAGAGACCTCCCTGAGTATGCCGAGGTTAAATGAGGCTGGAATTGGTCACAGCATCAAGATGCCCTTGGGATACAGCTGCTCTGTCTATCTCTTTGTCTCTCTCTCTGAAGAAAGTCTCCACAAACCTACCACCCACTGGTATGCTCACTTCCTATTTTTTTCTATCACATATGCGGAATTCTGGAGTCTGTTTCTTACATAACATTTTTAGCCTCTGAGCTTTAAACATTCTTCAAAGACATCCTTTAAAAGAACTTATATGGGGGCTGGCAGGTGGTGTGATGGTTAAGGCACTGGACTCCTATGTGACTGATCGTGGCTTTAGTCCTAGACCTGGCAGCTTGCTTTCTCACTTTCCTTCTCTCTCTGTCTCTCTAGTCAAATTTTAAAAAATAATAGTAATGAGACTAGCAGTTGGTGTAGTGGTTATTTGCTGAACTCCCATTGTTGACCATGGTTTGAGTTCCGGATCTGGCAGCTTAACATTAACACCGGGCACATGTGCAGGAGAATGGAGGAGAAGGGGTTGCAGCATGGCCTCCTGGGGGGTGATTTCTCGCTTTCCATCTCTCTTGTCTCTCTCTGTCTCCCCAGTGAGTGCACGTGCCCTATGGCAAAAATCTCTCTGCAATAATAATAATCATGATAATAATGGTCATAAATGTAATTAAATAATTATTTTTAAAGGAATAATTATTCATTTGTTTAATTCCATTTATTATCTTTTTTTTTTTTTTTTTTTCAATTTGACCAGAGGGAGAGAGAAAGAAAAATGAGAAAGCGAGTCCCCAGGTTTGGGACTCGAACTGTTGTTGACCACATGGTAGTCCAGCACCTTAACCACCACACGTCTGCCAGCCCCAAATAAGTAATTCTTTTTAAAAAGAAAAGAAAATCTGCTGGGGGCCTGCAGTGGCATGGAGTTTCCCATGCTGGATTCCCACATGGTTGACTGTGGTTGGAGTCCCAGACCCAGCAGCTTGAAAATCTCACTAGACGTGTGTGCAATGAATGCTCAAAATCCTGAGAGGAGAAGGGATTGTGGCATGGCCATCTCCCCAAGGAATGATTGCTCATTTTCCCTCTCTCTGTGTGTCTCTGTCTCTCCCTGGTGAGTGCACATGCGCTATAGCAAAAAACTAAAAATAACAACAACAAAAAACTTATGGGGCTGGTGCCATAGCACGGCAGTAGTGGTCTGCCCTCGAGAAGCCAGATCCCACATGGCCACCTCTATTCAAGTCCCTGGCCTGGCCAGCCTGAAAGATACCAGACACTTGTGCAAGGGGGGGCTAGAGGACTGGAGGAGGGGGATCACGGTGTGCCCAACCCTGTGGAGGGTGCTCTCCGTCTTGTACACACACACAAACACACACACCATGCTGAATAAAGAAAAACAATTTAAAGAAAAAAACACGTTCTTGACATTACATGCATACAAAAGAGTGAGCAAATTCAAAGTATGCAGTAGGTTTTCCAAAGCCGAACACACCCATGTCAGCTCAGCCCGCAGACCTCCCTTGCTCGCCCAGTCACGTAACGGTGGCCACTGCTCTGACATCCAGCTTCCCAGCTGAGTCCCGTCTGCAGAAGCATCCTGCGAGGTGTTCTATTTATAGAGGTGCCATGGTTTATTTAGCCAGTCCCTTCATGTCGGACAACTAGCTTGCTGCTCAGTGTTATTTTTTTCCTGTCATCAAACATGGGGAGGTCAACAGCTTTCTACAGAGTTGCTTCTGTTCATCTTTTAATTGTTTCAGGGCTGGCAGGTTAAGGGTGTTGGACTCCCTCATGGCCGACCGTGGTTCAAGTCCCGGACCTGGGGCTTGCTTTCTCATTTTCCCCCTCTCTCTCTCATCAAATTAAAAAAATAAAGTTCAGGGACCAGCAGTTGGCATAACAGCTATGTCGCTGGACTCCCATGTAGTTGACTGCAGTTTGAGTTCTGGACTCAATGGCTTAAACTCACGCTGGGCATGTGTGCATGCGTGCCCAAGATCCCAAGAGGAAAATGGAGGAGAAGGGATTATGGTGTGGCCATCCCCCCGGAGTGTGATTTCTCACTTTCTGTCTCTCTGTCTTGTTCTGTCTTTCTGGCGAGTGTATGTGCCCTATAGCAAAAACCTCTCCCCCCCCCCAAAAAAAAAAGAATTTTTAATTTCTTTATTATTTTTAGGGAAATTTTTGCTATAGAGCACGTGTGCTCACTGGAGAGACAGGAAGTGAGAAATCACCCCCAGTGAGGATGGCCACGCCACAGCCCTTCTCTGTTCTCCTCTTGGGATTTGGGACATGCACGCACACGCCCAGCGTGAGTTTTAAGGACTCATACTGCAGTCCACTATGTACGAGTCCAATGACGTAACCATTACGCTATCTGCTGGCCCCAGTTTCTCACTTTCTGTGTGTCTGTCTCTCCAGCAAGCACATGTGCCCTATAGCAAAAATCTCTTAAAAATAGGGGCTGGTAGGGACCAGCAGTTGGCATAATGGCTATGTCGCTGGACTCCCATGTTGTCAAGTGCAGTTCGAGTCCTGGACCAGGTGGCTTAAACTCACCTCAGCCTCATTTCTTTCTTTCTTTTTTTTTTTTAATATTTATTTATTTATTTTTATTTATTATTTTTTAATTTGATGAGAGAACAAGAGAGAGGAAGAGAAAAAGA